CTGTGAACTGCTGACTAGTAAATCTAATATCTCAACATTGTTATGGAAGTTCTTAATGTTACTGGAAATGACTTCTTCTTTATCTCTGCCTATCTTTTTTAAGTGTCGTCCAATTTTTTCCTGCGCAGGAGATGTATCGCTTATGATGTGCCAGGTAACCCCTACATAATAACAATGTACAGAGTAACCAACCACTCTTAAATAAATAAATATTCTTCTTAAATATTCTTTCTAATTTTCGACAATAAACCTTAGCGAATTCAGTCCACCTCAGCACCTCACATGTTCGTGAGACACTCTAACTAAAGAACACCTCACCACATCACTCCCTAAAAACAAAAAATATCAGAAGCTTCTTTCTTCAGACAGACGAAGAAAGACCTGTAACGATCCTATCATATCATTGCCGACAATATAGTACTCTCGACACAAAATCGATTACATAACATTTATCCTTATAGGCTTATCATTTTGCATCATAACAGAAACAATATCTAGTCAATAAACTGACTCTGTCAATAGACAACGCTTTCCCCTCTTTTCTAATATCATCGTCTTCGATTTCTGTCTAATGCTAACACCGAATCAAAGGGACGCATATACATGATGACTTTTTGATGACAGGATGCTTCTATGTATTATTATGGATTACGAAACACACTTCTGCCTGCTAGAAATAAACTTCATCGACGGTGAAAGACACAAGTGAAGAAGCTGAAGCCAACAAGTTTGAATATATGAGAAGCTACGTCCGCGAAAGTGTCGATCAACCGAGTGAGAATGTGGGAAACGGAACCGCGCCAACGATAAACAGAAGATACCAAAGACGGATTTAGAGGTAACTGATAATGGTAATTGGATTGTCGATGTTTGCTGAAACGATTCGACGCTTGGGCGACTGGAGCAAAGAAAAAACATTTCTTTTGTTTTTTGTAGCGGCTATATTGCTGTAGAGTAACGGTTTGGTGGTAAGCAAATTTTAACAGATGAGGTACAGACCGATGGGGTGTGCTACTAGATCCTGAATTTGGCCTAAAAATATTGGGGGAGCTAATTAGGGCCGGAGAATGCTGTGATCTTTGGCCAAAAGGGAAATCTCCAATATAATATCTGAGACATTATGCAGGATCTATACGAAACATATTTAAATAGCATAATTCTATTATCCTGCTAACAATAATGAATGAAGTATTTCACATAAATGATATCCTGCTGAATAATATCCAAGCTTGATGCTAATAATAAATATCCTGATAATTTCAGTTTTGCAGTGTAAAACTTGAAGATGGTAGACAAATAGCGACCACGAAATGGAAGCATTGATTGGTTGGCGGTTGGTCACTGGTCCAAGACATCTTATTCATGAGACGCATTCATATTTTTGTGGGTCCGACACTGTCGGATGATTTGTTATAAACAGATCAGTGAAAAAACGCAACAGTATAGAACTTGGCGATCATTTGGAGTGTCACATACGAATTGATTTAATGAAAACTTATCTAATATCTGATCGTACTTTTTTTAACTGTGGTCCTATTGGAGCTAATGCTCACTGCGTTTATCCTTTTAAAGACGCATCAGTTTAGGTAGATCCATAAACTTTAGGTTCATCCATCAAGTTAGGCGGATTAGCAAATGCATCAAGGGTTAAATATATCCAAAGATTAAGGAATAGTAAGGAATAGGATCAAAGTCTTCACACCTGTTGTGATGTAGGATCTTAATACTTCGACAATTTATGCTACACAAAAGATACGCCGCTCGACGTTTGTCAAGCTCAATTAAAGTCAACAGCTCTTGTTCATCTTTGCCGATAGTCGTAATAGAATTCAATCCGCCACAAGTATAACGGCCTGTTACCGCTAAGCCATATTAATAGAATAATTTCCTTAATAAAAGACACTTCCAGCCCGTAACTCTGTAAAGTCCATGGATGTATCGATTTACGCTGCAGTCCACCCGCAACCATCAGTGTCGACCGGTTGGATGATTTCACTTAATCCGTTGTTACTACGTTCCCTACTTAGTCCAAAGATGACCATCAACAGCAAAGGTTGTCGATCTTATTAGGTTCGCCCAGTGCGGTAGGCTGTCTTCATAACACGTGGCCAACTGGCAGCACACTCGTGAATGGAGCCAGTGGTAAGGTGCGTCTTGTTGGGCTGGTTGGAATTTCATAAGCTTCAGGAGACTTGGGGGGTAAACGAGGGGCAAAGACAGAGTTGTAGAAACTAGAACGTGATCCACAGGACGGTTCTTCGCTCCTGCAAACGTAATACCGTGACGTCAACTACGAGACGAGACTGCGTTAAGCCACCAGAGTTACAATAACACAAATGAGAAAGCGTATTGAGAGTCCAAGAATCAGAAAGATAAGCAGTTGTCCTATAGCGGCGTCAATGGCAGAGTCTCGAAAGAAAGGGTGTTTTGTTGTTTAATAGAAATGTCAAATTAATTCTCTATACAGGAATTCTAAAGTCGCTAACAGTCGTCGTTTTCAATATCGCACACTTGCCACATAAAATGTTATTATCCATTGAACTCATCCGTCTAGGGCAAAGAGACCATGAAGTATGGCATTCATTTCGAGCCAACTACTCATCTAGATATTTGTACAACGCTACATGAAATTTCGAATTCTTTTTTTTGACTTCGTTGCCGATCGGTAAAGGTAATTGGTACAGATCTCAGAAGGAAGAGCCGAGCGATGCCTGGCTAACATGTTGGCCCATTTCAATAATTAAGTTGCAGGCTGGAAAGTTTCCTCTTGAAAGCATAATGCAAAAGTTGGAAAATAAAAAGTTGAAAAAATGTGAAAAGAAAATGTTCAGTTCACATGTGCTTTTTTTTATAACAGGTTGATGTACCGATCTTGTTTGTGAATACCGGGTCTCTATTCTAGATTTATCTCAATAGGCAGAGTGAAAGTTTACCCAATTTTTTTTTCTAAATGCAGCACCCACAAAGTCACACCGCCATTAGCCTTGTGTTCGAAATCAGTACTTCCTTTAATACTAAGTACACTGACCCGGTAATTTACTAACCCAAAAGTTGAAATTTTTGGCATCTGGCGAGTCTATTTCAAGTAGGGTAATCACTTTACCAACCGACGCGTAAGCAGCGATTCTCAGTAACTCCTTAGTTGGATGGATTAGGCAGCAGTATTGTTGCCTTTATCAACAATTAGAAATCAGCAAAAAGAGACTTTAACGGTACCGCCAAAAAATTGAAAAGTCATATTGTCGACGACCATTTACAACGAAATCGTATAACCAGATCTTGCATAACAAAATTCGACATTATTTCGTATATATAGGCTACTAATCATATCATAATTCCAGTATAGTGACCGTTTTACTCGCTACAAAATTACGCCTTTTTAAATCTCATGCTGACGTTTTGATATTGAAAGGTAGACCGAATATTTTCGTTCGCCCACAACCGTTACAAATCAACCTATTTATGAGTCGGGCTTAAATAATCAGTTTGGCTTAGGCCAAGGCCAAGGTTTTAACTTCTGAGCACATTCATCCTATCAGCTATGCTGTTAGAGAATTCAGATCGGGTGATAAACCTCGTTTTATGCTCAGAGTGCCGCTCATTCAGCAATAGTGTTCACTATAGTCCATAATTTGTTGTGTGCGTCTCCACGGTCGACTGCCCCAACTAAGGTTAGTTGATACGGCGATGTTAACGGAAGTTAAAGCAGCATCTCATCGCTAAACCCGTTCGTAATGGAAAATTATGTTTTACGTAAGCGATTGCGGTAACCTCAATCAAATACATATGTATATATATATATATATATATGTATAGAAGTTGATCAATGTCTAGAAATCCTATGTTAACCTGGATCGTCGCCCAAGGCAGCGTGAAATTTCTCCCTGGGTAGCCTGTCGCGGTCTTGTCGACGAGGAAGCCCATAAAGCCCAGTTGTAACCTGAACTATGATCGTTGTTGGGCCCAGGTCACGGGAATAGTTTGATCTAGTCAAGAAATCGATATGTTAATTTGTGGCAAGCGAAACGCGGTCTTCTATCAAATTTTCAATGCACGCATATCAGTTCTCATCAATAATTCAACAAAACGTTAATTATTTTAGACATTTTGTAAGAGATTTTCCAGTTGTGTCTTGCTAGCTAGTTGGTAGATCCTGTTAGTTGTTAAATGACCGTTATTTTTAAATCTACCGTCTTCAAAAATATTGACGAAGCACACACACTTTTGTTAATCTCTAGCGCCACTCTGAATCCATTTATCAACACGGCGTGCGCATATCTATATAGATATAGATATTAAACGTATCTTATCAAAACCTGCATAGCAGGCAATTATTTGAGAATCTTCGTCAACTGCTTCGTCATCTGTACCGACCCCACTTGCTATTGGATCTCTGCTATTTTCAATTCGATAGCCGCTCAGCTCATTTTATTGCATCGATCGCTTCAACTCGTTCTCTCTAACATTATCTCGCAGGCAACGTTATTTGTCCTAGTATCAATCGCCTAAATGTCTAGTTTTACGTCCTGTACCGTCGTCAGGCATTGAAACAGACGGCAGCGTGGCTACGCTTGGACTCGAGCCCAGACCATCACGTATATCGATCGTCCTGCGGACGATTATGTGACGCCGTGCACGGTCCGTATCTCAACACTTGCGTTCGCATCGAGCGTGAATTGGTGGCGTTTTGACAAATGTGTTCGATGCCGTTTGGTAGCGCGTGCGCGAGATGATGACCCAGTCCCAGGGCACCCTCTCTTTTATAACACAGCGCCAGCAACGTCAATGAGAACGGTGGCAGCAGCAGCAGCAGCAATGGTCAGGTTCCTTACACACACGGCGGGCGCCCAGGTGAAGGAAAGAGCAGTAATAAGACCGACAACGGTGCTACTACCCATGCTGTGTGTGCTGGAAAACAGAGGCCTGCCAACTGCTTCGTTCGCTCACGTGGAATGCTGCTCGAGGGGCCAATGTTCCACAGTTTGTTTCCTTCTGGCTTACACTCGTACCGCCGATATCGAGGCCTTCAGCTGCTTACCACCGCTGTCGGAAGCTACGGATAACAGTGGTTGGGTCCTTTTTCTATGCAGCAGCAGTCAGTAACTTGCGTCCAGCGGCATAGAAATGGTTCTCCGTTAGAACAGCGGCAAGCCGCAACAGACACAATAACATCAGCTGCGGCTGCGGGTCTAGCAGCAGGTTTACAGAGCAATTTGCTTATCAAGAAAAGTTGAAAAAATAGCAACAAACCGCGCAAGCTGTTCGCAATAACGGCCGACTAGAAGTAACACGCAAGTCAGATGTTCGATGCTCTTTCAGCGCATATTGCCGTTGCCCCATCGAACCAATCAGCTAATGGTTGAGTTCGTTGAAGATGATCTTTAAGGTGAATTAGTTTCGAAAGACCATATCTGAACAATGATAAAAATGTTAACATTTTCGAATAGTATATCTGACATCGGGCGACCGAAAAAGAGCGTGATACGGACATCGCTCCTTTCATGACGCCTCATTGCCACTACTACTGTTTCTAAATACAGTGCCATCCAACAGAGAACTACGGCAGGCAGCAGCTCAACAAAATGGCCAGTAGCCTCTGTCCATAAGGGCGATGCCACGCTGCGGAGAGTGAACGGCCGAATGTGCTGTGACTTGTGTACCCTGCACTCTGTGCTGTCTGCGCTGCCAATATCGACGCCGATCTGAACGAACGTCTGGGCGTGTGTCCGTCTAAACGACGTCACAGCGTTGACGCTGAAGAGGCTAGACGCTCGATAACGACGTGGACCAACGAATCGGATTGACGCAGCTACTTCTGGCTGTACGCGTTCCTCCTTCCCAGTGAACGTGTGCAATTGATAGAGCAAAGGTCGACAGCCAGTCAGCGAACAATCGACGCACAGCTCGCCTCTGGCCAGAGGATCAGTCGAGCGTTGGTAACGGCACCATCTCAATTCCGATGGCCTGATCAGGCTTGCTTATGTTGCGTTGCGCTATACGTATTTGTAACCGTACGTATTTCTGCCTGTGCGTATTGCATCGACGCTGTGCAGTTCCTCGTACGGAGTAGAGAAGGAATGATGAGTAGACAGAGAAATCGCGCTAAATTTTATTTTTGTGGTCACCGTTGCGTCTGGAAACAATCGAAACGATCGTGATTTCAAGCTCAATTCAAAGCTGTTGCGAGTATATGAAGCGGACGTGTGTATACAATTAGAAAGCTAGCTAGATTCTTTACGATACACACTAAAGAACGCTAGCTTGTGTTTAGCTCAGCTAGACACGGTAAAAGGCTGTCTGTCAGGTTTCTTTTTTGTGTGAGGTGATGCACTAGAATCGTGGACCTCTAACGTTGCAAACCGAACAAGTATTATTGCATCGAGGTGAAAACGACTCAAGGAACAATTGGAAAAAGTGGTGGAAGGTTTCAAAACGGAGGCCTCGAAACACACAAAAAAAAAAAACACGAGAAGCAGAAAATAGTCAAAGAGTAATATAAATTGAATAGGGATGTCTTCCCACGGTTCGAAATGCGTGTTTGTAACGGGCGGGGCGGGCTTTATCGGAAGTCACACCATCATCGAGCTGTTAAACGTAAGTTTAACTTGCAATTTCTAATTAGACTTAGTATTGTCAATTATCTTGCATCTACCGTTCGGCGATAGAGTTCCGGTATTTGTCTTTAAGTCTCTAAGTATTATGTCAATGGTATACTGTCAACCTGCTTTGTGTTTGCTGTCTAGTGGCATTCTATATAAATTCATTTCAAATCTTGAAATCTCGAAAGTATGCTATGGCTTACCGTTGTGTGTAGCATACTAGACAGAGAGCTCGCCGAGGAAGCGCAAATGATCAACTAGTAGCAGCTTATCATTACAAAAATAAAAACTAACTCTAAGATTAAAATAGACTATCACACTAACGTACATCGACAATAAGCTCTCTCTCTTCTTCCTAGATATTCCTCAAACCGATATTAGTAAACTGTTACACAAAAGAAAAAAAAATATGTCTAACCGCGTTCAGGCACGAGCTGGCTCCATATTTCTAAAAGTTAGACTATGCTGTTTCGGTATCCACTACCAATTGCTTGGATTATGAAGTAGAGAGAAGCAAACCAAAAAGTAAAGAGTTTAAACAAAACGTAAAGTTCAAAAATTCATAGTTGCTGGGCCCGCTGCACCCATCTACGTGTCAGATTGTGGTGACATTGATTTTGTCGCGCATGTAAGCAACTTTGAGCTGTAGGAACCTGTGGGAGAGACCTCACGGAGATGCCAGATGACACTGTGAGAGAAAGAAACAAACGATTAATAAGCCTTATCGTTTGTTTCTTTCTCTCACTCTAGCAGGTAGAGGCCATATCTCGGTCTCAAAAGCTCCGAGTAAATCGTACCTCAGAGGCAATTCTTGCAGAACTTAAATCAGACGGTGGATCAACTTATATTTATTCACAATGATCGTATGGGCACTTAATATGAGCACAAGCTGATGAATGTTTTTTAACCGTCAAGGAACTTGTCTTATGTATCACCCATATTTCACAAACAACAAGCCTAATATTAGTAAATATACCACCACGCTTAATATATATAATTTTAATAGACGCTATCCGCCTTGTTAGTAGGCTTCACGATGCCTAACTTGTTCAAGAGAGGTATGTACATCCACCGCAACTCAACAGTTTTGGCATCTCGTTGTTTGAGCGCCTCACATAAGGCTTTACTATTCGTACTGGGTCGCTCGAGCAACAGTAACTGCGCGGTAAGAGACTACGACTATCGATGTTGATAGCTCCAGTGAATGATCGATCAGCTTCTGGCCTTTTCAAAACCGACCGATTGGGTGCCACATGTTTTTTCTTTGGTGAAGGCCACATGTTTCTACGACGAATGTCTTATTATATGCGAGTGCATCCTTCGATATAATCTTATGTTGTGACTGATCTACCGATGGGTGCGCGCGGGTACGCTGACGCTTAAATAATTCGATTCCCCAATGGATTGCAACAGTTTTTCGTATACTCTGCGGAATTTCTGCTGATAAAGCCACGTACAGGACGTTGCTCACAAGGCAATCGGTATTATGAGGTGACCACTTTGCTTTGTAGATACCTTTTTAAAAACAAAACGCTGCGAGATACAGACCGAAATGGTTGAGCGTATCCAGTCGAAATCTGCGAACGCGCGAGGACGAGAGGAGCATTGATTTGTACGTCTGTAGAATTAGATAGACGTGTCAATGGTCGTTTCATAGACAAACTTTGAAATGCTCTAATATTGGAACAAACGATTCGCAAACTAATCAGACTGTTAAGACGGGAACGGTGAGTAACGTGTTCCCTTTGCGGAGTGCCCTGATGGTAAAATCAAAGATTCTACTTGCACGCGTTTTTAAATAATTCCCCGACTGTAAAAAACTATACTAATAACAATATACTATACAGTCTTCGCTATAGTTGACAGTTCATATTGTTGTGATGATCCATTCCTTTGAACAGATAGATATTAAATTTAACGAAACTCGCCGTATGATGCTCAGGTCAGATACCCAGTCATTATTTCGTTGTCGATTTATCTATAGATACTCCTGTCTGTTTATGATCTCTTAGGAGGTCAGGAGTGGCAACATTGTTGGCCAAATCATCCACATAATCCGCTTCCAAAACCATACAAAGCCGTACCGCTGTAAGTATAGGAAAAATAACATGCAACCTTAAAAAAAATGTAAATAGATTTTTAGTTGGTGGCATAATTCAAAGCACGGATTCAAATTCTATTTAACATACACAGTCCACATCGAAGTACGACAACACTCGACGCTGGAACGGTACGTACTTTTATATAATATGCTCCTTTCGTTGCACACGATGCTAACAGAACAGCTAGACAAAACATTGCTACGATTAAGAGCCTTACTGTTTTGTGCTTAAGGGAAAAACACCGGCGATTCTTATGCGGCTGGTTAGTCGCTCACTACACAGAATTTTACCGCAATAGATCCATCCTTTGACTGAAACAGTTTTATGTGGATGACAACAGTAAATGAAATATAATATGTAATTGTAAACGCAGTATCGTGTGCCTATGAAAGCAGTTAAAATGGATCTTTTTACACACGACTGACGACGATGCAGAGATCTAGGCAACAGGAAGGCGATAAAAATGCAAGTTACATAGCACAATACATAAAGATTAACAAAAGTCATATTATACATATGTATCATGTACGTATAAAGATACACACTTCGTTTAGGACTTACAGGGGGCTTTTACTTTGTTATCTCGAAATCTACTACAGTTGTTGAGTTTCCAGTGACAACTATGCGATAAAAATTTTGCGTAGAACTTATCTCTTTATTAATCAATGTGTTGTTATAACAGCTACAGACCGCGGTTCATAACCAGTGCATTAGAATAAGAATGATTTCAACGGAATTGTTTGTTAAGAACGGGCAACTTCTCCAAACTGCCAAAAGCCGCATATGGCTCTATATCATGCAATGGCATTTCACGCAAATTTCCGAAAGCGCAGTGCAGAACGTAATTTTTACTCTATGTGACCAACCGTGGGTCTCGGTCTTGATAGTGGGGTGGTGATATACGCTTGCCAGCTAAAATTTACGTCCCGAGACGGCCTCGGTTCGAAACCTGGCATAGACGCAATTCGTATCGCGCTGATAATCGACGTAAAACATTTCCCTTAGGCAAACATAACTAAATACAAATGAGATTTGTTGTTTTTCTTTATGAAAATGTAAGAGACAGCGGGGCCACTAAAGTCCATTATGAACGTATTTTGACGTTTTCTTTTTCTGTCCGTCAACTTCCTATGGAAAATGCTGATGCTTCTCTCTCTTTTTCACTAATGGATAAACTAACAGGCCAATTACGAGGTCGTCGTGGTGGACAACTTCGCTAACTGTGTGATGTCATCATCTTCATTGTCAAGCCCCAGCACCGAAGAATCGGGTGGCCAGGGTTCATCTGGAAGCCAGATGGCCGAGTCCCTCATTCGAGTTCAAGATATCACTGGAAAAAAGATTCACTTTTACGCGTGCGATCTCCTCAACAAGATTGAGCTCAGCAGAGTTTTTAAGAAGGTAACATACCCCAGTGTGACACAGTAACGATCACGCCAATACATATAAAACGTTACGCGTTGACACAGTTAAATAACTGACGATTAAAGGCTTGAAGTAAACGAACCCTCAAAAACTTTTACCGCACATAATTAAACACAATAAGATGAATATTAATTATCTTTGAATAAGCTAGGTTTCATCCAAACATCGAGAAAAGCTGACATAGATACTTTCAGACCATATTATTACTAACTTATTAATCTTGTCCCTTTCAGCACAAAGTGGACTGTGTTATTCACCTCGCAGCGATGAAGGCTGTAGGCGAATCCATGCAGAAGCCACTTTTCTATTATAAAAACAATATCGTCTCTACAATCAACGTCCTTGAGGTTTGTCCAGTTGCACTGAATTGTAGCGTAAGCTGAACTACCTAACCTGCCTGCGATCCTATATGAACCTGCCTTGTAATTAGTTTTTTTCACACGCCTAAAAATAATCACTTAGTTTTTCAAATTACGTCTTACCTACATGTTTCGCATTAGAAGCAGTAGCCAGGATCAAATCGATCGACGTATCTGCTAGGTTTTTGGCACGTAATAATGCTTAATACCCACACAGCGAAACGTAATGTCGTTTTTCCAACTGATACTTAGTTAGGAGCTAACAGCGCTGCCTTCATCTGAAAGCTAAGTACCAGTGGAGTTGATGCTGTACTTCAACGGTTTTTGCCTGTGATTGTACTTCTGGCTTCTGCCGTCATTTCAACAAAACAATAGACCAGAAGTGCACAAACGAAGTTCTTTTCTGAAGTTCACCTGGTCTCCACTTGCCGGTCTACCGCGCTTCACCAGCCATCCAACAACCTGGGCATCAGCCCCAAACCTGTTAGCTGTCATAAACTGTGCATGGAGTGTAAACCCAGCTAGAATTCATGTGCTACTTCACTACAGCCACTGTGCTTATTATTGTGCAACGGGCTCGGCTGAGATTCACAAAAAAAAACAGAAAACTATTAATTATTGAAGACTACTGTCAAAAGTAGTACTCATTTTGTTGGTGACTGAAAAAGTGACCTTCTGCTGGCGTTTTCCTGGAACATGTTTCAATGCGAAACATGGCCATAGAGATAAAAACCGTTTTCGCTGAAGTTGATTCCTCTAAAGACTATATTTTCAAGCGCCTCAACTTCAATCGACTCGAGAACCGCGCACAATTCTACTACTACATGCAGGTATGGCTCCGCACTAAACTAGTTACGGCTATATCACAAACGAGCCCAGCTATTTGCTGCTAATTCATACCAAGCATCACGTGAATCGATGCGTTTAAGTGAACGTTTTAGGTTCTTGTTCGGTGTCATTGCCGCGGTTAAGCATTGTTTCAGACACTGCTGCCCCCACGATGATGCAGCGGGCCATGAAATTTTTCCAGTTTTGAAATCGAAGTTAAGTAGTCACACAGGTTACGACTGCATCGTTACAAGACGCCCCTATCAATAGAACGTAATTTGTACTTACTTGACTTGCAGCGTTGTCGTCGCTCCATACTCGCATGCGTTCAGCTATGGTCGCTGTTAGTTCGGCTCATTAACTAATCAAGCAGAGAAGTTCACTGGCCTTTAAAGAGTATTCCAAGGGTCTGAGTAGTACAACACTACGTTACAACATAACAGTCAGTATTCCAAGGGCACAGTTAGATCAGTGCGGATATCCACTGGCGTTATGAAGTGCACCGTGACGTACTAATGACAAGCATGTGTACTATTGCAATTAATATCTTGTAGCGGCACTATTTTGAAAAATCAGCTACCTGTTACTACTGCGGAAATCGGCAAAGATGCCGACCTACCCTGCAGCTTCCGAGTTCTGAGTTAACCACTATTTTTACTACTTCAAGTCATGTCATATACAGAGATGATCACCTGCACAGATCTACCCTACGAAAAAAGAGCTTTACCAAGTGATTTTCGATGACCTACGAGTAACGGCGCGCTAAATACACACTGGCAGTCATCCACTCACCGTCATTGTAAGCTAGTAATGGCAGCGTGAACATACTAACATCTCTTGCGTTTACGTTTCTATGAAGAAGTCGCCTGTGTATATAAATGCAGCGTGGAAAAAATCGAACACGCTCACAGAGCGACTACCACAATCACAGACCGCAACAAAGATACAAAACCAACGACGCTCCAACAGAGCTCCAATATCCACAACTTGCGAGGTAGTAGCTCCCCTCACAAACGCGCGTTAGAGAGGATCTCTCTTCTGTGAGCCTGTTGAGTCTCACTAGTTCATCCTGCAGCTGCTAGCACAGCTTTCGCCGCGACGATCAGGTAGACGACGACGACGACGACGGAAAACTCTGAGAGTGAGAGAACCAACTAGACTCACAGAGCCCCCTGGTGGGAAAGAAGGAAACTTTAAGGATGGGAAAGGGAATGAGCGCCTTAGCGCACGCATACAAACAGACCAACACGACATTAACAGGAGGAGTTCGAGTGTTTGTAGGTTAAAGTCACACTGGCAAAGCGAAAAGTGGCCATCAACTAACATTGCCTGTGAATGGCTAACGTTCTATTAATCCTGTAGCGGTCAATCTTCTCTAGAACAACAATGACGAGGGACTATGGAAGTATACAGGAGCTTTATAAGCTCGCAGAATAATTACGGACGAGTGGATTATTTTGAAGATGCATGAGCACTGCGTGCTATAGTTACGCATGACTAATTAATTTGCGTATATATATATATATATATATATATATATATTAGATACCCCCTCCTGTCATAGTCTATTCCCGTGTTAAACTGACATTCTCTTTAATCATAAAATATAATACTATCATTTAAAGATACCGCTGCTACCATGCCTGCGGTGGAACAAAAATAACAATATCGTATCGTTCATTGCTTCACTAAACTCATACATAAAATAAATCGTACCTTCGATCCTACAGATTAAGCTTAGGGAAAAGCCGATGATGTGATAAACCAGCGAGTTGGTTAGCACAATAATAAATACACTATTAACCTTCACGCAATTGTCAACGTTCTTGGCATAACTCAGGTGATGAAGGAACAGGGCGTCTACAAGATGGTCTTCAGCAGTTCGTGTGTCGTCTATGGCAATCCAATATATTTGCCAATAGACGAAGTGCATCCGGCTGGCGACGTTCCTAATGTCTACGGCAGAACAAAGTACGCCATTGAGAAAATGCTCGAGGATATAGCTCGCGCCGAGAAGGTTATTGCGTTCGATAGTATATATATATATATATATATATATATGTGTGTATATATATATGATTCTTTTTTCTGATCTCAGAAGAGAGGGAAAACAAACAGAAGATGAAAGAGAGAACCGCCTAATCGACTGAAGTCTCTTCTAATGGTTTCTAATATTGTTTAAACGGCGGTTGTTTTGCCTTACACGTGAGAATCGCTCGCTGCCTCGCAAGCCAACTTTTTTTTAACAAATCACAAGCCTCGATAGACAGCGAATCGTGCTGCGGACGTTTTGTGTCTAATGATGATACTGTTATAATGTATGTTACGACATAGGGACGAAAAAAGAATCTATAGATATGAGTATGTACCGTATCATCTGATAATTTATTGATCGATATTATGTAAGCTAACGTTATTTGTTGTTTATTGGAGTGAGAAAAGAGAACCCTTTTGAGGTGTGCAATAATACTTTCCTGAGATCGCTAGTCGTATACACACTCATTGGATATTTGAAAAAAGAACACGATCGCAACTGAATGATTCCTGTCGCAGTCCGAAATAACATGGCTGTTCACAGCAGCAACGAGAGATTTACAAGCATTAATAGGTCCAAGATGTTTGGTTTAAAAACATCTCCATACGCAACTGAAAGCATAGGAAAGTAGGGTAATTTGAAGCAGTTCAATCGATAGAGCGAACATATTGAGAACACAGAATTTCACTGTGTTTTGTATTTCAGCAATGGAACATCATCTGTCTACGCTACTTCAATCCATTAGGCGCCCATCCTTCGGGACGAATCGGCGAGGATCCCGTACGTGCCTTTACCAATCTGATGCCGATCATAGGTGAAGTCGCTATGGGAAAACGCAAGGAACTTGATGTCTATGGAGGAGACTACGACACCCCGGACGGAACGGGTAAATCCCACAACTTGCATTAAGGTTTTGCAGAAGGTGCTTAGTGATCCACAATGGCCTAGGTAAAAGGAGGTGCACAAATTTTTTATCAGTGGAAACCTTTTTCTCGCTTACGTTGTTCGTCAAGGTCTATAGGTGCCTCAACTCTGAGGTTGATCTTGTCGTCATGTCTTACCTGATTCCCCCCCCCCCCTCATCAAGTGATCCGACAACTGCTCTATTTCGTCAAACTAGTATAACTAACACAAACTGGGATGATTAAAATTGCTTGAGTTTTAGGGGTCCGTGACTTTATTCACGTGATGGATTTGGCCGCAGGCCATGTTGCAGCGTTGCGAGCACTCGACAAACCACTGCGCTTCAAGTTTTATAACCTTGGTACAGGTCGGGGAACGTCAATTCTGCAGTTGATTAGGATCTTCGAAGAGGTCACTGGAAGGACTATTCCTTATAGGATACTTGAAAGAAGACTTGGTGATATCCCAGCTATTTGGGGCGACTGCAGACTTGCGGAAACCGAACTGGAATGGAAAGTACGTATCAATTTACTGGTCATGTTTTAGTTATTTTCCTTATTGGGAGCAACATAGCAGTGAAGACAGGGTATAAACATAGGTAAGGAAAGTTTTAATTGTTTATGTCAAGTCGATAGCTAAATTTAAAGGCGGCTGTGGTGAGTTTAGCTAGCACTGCTAGAATTAAATAGCGCTGAGTAAAGCCCCAGTTAACACTTGCATATAGTTTGAAGAAACACCCGGTGAATGTTTACGGGATTTACACATAAATCGCTAAAAAGAACAATCGCTAGAGAGGAAAAACATTCATTTTTCCGGCCAATATATGTTTTCCGGTTGTTCTCATCGTTAACAGGGAATGCACTTATCTTGGTTTCTAGGCAAAATACACCGTCAAAGACATGTGCCAAGATTTTTGGAAGTGGTTAAACGAGAACCCTAACGGCTATCCCAGGGTTACTGAGATTATTCGGCCGCGACAGTAACGGCCTGATAATGTAGCTTATTTTGAGTCCGACTTTTCTTTTTACGGAGCGTTAAAAGGACTTAGGATCCTGTATTGATACTACGTTAAATATATGCACACCTACAGACGATTACTAGAATACTATATTTAGCAGAGTAGTAGTAACCGCTTTTCAGCTCATGAATCTCACGGGTCAATGCTCTGTATGATCTAATATGGCATTTAACTGAATCAGGGTATCATCGATTAAAGCATAAACTTTTCGTCGGAATTATGGTAAGCACAGTTCACTCCTCAACAGCCTAGAATGTGTAGATTAGAAACACTTGCCTTGGGCACCTTGTCGATTCATTAGCACACGGACTTCACTCGAATCGATGCTCGGGTCATTCAATGCAAACTATACAACTATAATTAATACGATCCACTAAAGAAAGCTGTACTTTTCAGTTTCTTTAAGACAATGCATATAAAGAAAGATGTCGAAAGAAAGAAGGTCGATTTTTGCCTTATATACAGTGACAACAATACTATTATACGTACGTGACGTCATTCCCATATAACATGTGTTGAGATGAGAGTAAATGCGCTTTTTTTAGATATTGTGGCCTACCTGAATCTATTGGAGGTATTAATCGATTAAGAGTGCATGATCAAAGCCTATGTACCCCAGATGCGGCATCAGTACCGTTATTTGACTATTGTCTGCTTGTATAATATAAGCAAGCGAAATCAAAAAAAAAACAGTTGTCCAACAGTATTTCTACCACTCGACTCACATTGACGCACACATTGACGATATATTTATGAAATAAAGAAGCATTGTGTGTTTAAATCAATGTTCGTGTAAGTTTTCTTGTCATCGCAATATTGTGGTCTTAGTTATGCCTCGACTAATATGCAGCGGTATTGACTTTTATGTAATACTTTTTCTGTACGCAACGAAACAGCACTCTGACTTAACTGTGCGGTGAACTAACATTATACACTGGAATGCTGTAAGAAGATCATAGTGTTGAAGCCAAAGATTGAACCTGCGGTTTTCGTTGCAGGTACGACCCCGTGGTCTACTTCTCAGTTGCAAATTGTATGGGTTTGCCCTGTTACTTTATTACATGTATCTAATACACAGGTTTAGGGTTTAGTTCATGATGTGCAATGTATTCACGTAACGAGCTAAGTCGATATCTAGAAGTGCTAATATTAATACAGGCATACAACTATATAAAAGGTTTAGGCATCGTGTTCTCATAATAGTGAATCATGATTATAGACTTTTCAGGCACTGAAGAACTGCCAACTTCGTTTACAAATTAAGAAAGATTTGCTCCAAACAGCAGGGTAGACAGAGATAGGACCATAATATAACAAACGTTTCGAGTTTTACTTCCGGTACTGGTTTCGTTAAGACTTCGAAGGGCTTGCTCCTTTTAGCATGAGACTAAGTTTTTTTTTCAAATCTGGATCTCCTCATGGGTCTCTCCAAATTTTCCAGTAGGCAAATACATTACCACTGAATTATAAACGGAGAACGGCGACCAGCAAGAAACAATGGGTGCTCGAATATCGCCTATCGAATATAGTAACGATTAATTTTCCTTTAAAAAATACTCGGACTTCCCCAAACAGACAGCCGTTAAGTGTTTAAATTAAGTCTGAACCGTCTAACCAAGAGACTAGAGCACGTCGACGTCGACTGAAGTATTTCAAGACGGCTTTCTAGTGAGATGCGCGTTGATACATTTCAGACAGGTTCTACGTAGAACAAGATGTGTCGTCTGACAGTATTTGAATCAGTGATCTTCTTAATTGGAGAAGCATGCAAGTGTAAAGTCAGCAATTCCAGTAATGGAAGCGAAAATAACATCTGATAAGACCCCGAAATGACCACTTGGCTTCAAAATGCTTTTTGACACTAAGTTTATTCTACTCGTTGATGTTTTGTCTAGAAAGAGGTCATTGTGATGACTTGTTCACAAAGCCGATGATACTGAAATCAAAAATAAATTTGAAAAAAATATTGATACTGATACGGGGATTTCGATGCATTGATATGGATCGCCGTTATACGCAGTCAGATCACATTTTCATTAAAAATGAAAAAGACGCACAAAATGACACTCAATGCGAAGATGGAAAAAATGAAATTTGACACAATTTCAAGTTCAAGATGAGCATTGCCGCCTGTACCATTCCTAACTTGTTGTCCATATTAATAAATTGCTTGTAGTTTCCACTCTATATAGCTAATTTCATGACCAATAAATTTAGTACTATAAAAGTAGTAGTTATAAGTAAAAAGTAGTAATTAGTTGTGGACATGCTCTCTTATTTTATTATAAATCTAAAGCTGTGATACTCAAAACCCTGATTTAAACTGCGTCATATACATGCACAACACAGCATGTCTGATCCAATAAAAATATTTTGAATGTACACGATATTAAATCGGAGTTTATTTATATATCCATATGCGTTTTACAGAATGTGTACTCGTGGTAATCTGTAAAGCTTAATCGTACTTTCTGCAACGTTCTGTTCTATATGATCGAAATCTTAGTGACTGGGCACGTAAATCAGATCAGGAATTACCATTCAAAGGACACAGTCTATGCTAAAGCGTATTTCATTCGAAAAATAAAGAGGGTTAGATACTCGGGATAGCATAATCGACTATATATATATTTTTTTAACTATAGCCCTAATATCAACAAAAGAGGTCATCATATTGTTGCTAATTAACTTGATCCGACACCTATGCGCAAGCGTTTGATCGCAACGGTCAGCAAAGTTGGGGCATTCTCGAGTAGGAGCAACCCAAGAATTATTTTTAGGCACTAAGCTTTTAGTAATCTATAAAATTATGGACGTTAAACGAATATTATCAAAGGTACTAATATATATACATATATATATTAGCACCTTTGATATGAAACAACTATATATATATATATATATATAGTTGTTTTTTCGTTGCATTCTTCCTAAGGAAATATGTCCGACGTGCAATCTCCACCGGGATAACGGATCTCATGGGCGACAATCGGTCCGCCAGGTTCGTCTCTGAAATCCACGAGAAAATGCTTATTGATTTCCAGCCTACTTTTTTTGTATCTGCGTCAAGCATGATGCTCATGTCACCACTCTGAATCATATCCGGATAAAATTGGAAATCCCAAGCGAACAACAGTGAAGTCGTCATGTAGAATCGCTTACCGTCCAGCGAGAGCTGCATTATTTGGGGACCCTCTCGGACTTTTTTGCCGCGCACGGTGGAGTAAATCGGATTTGGTTGCTGGAAAAAAGGGGGACCATAGCTGAAGCGTTATAGATAAAGCTTGCGTTTGTTTCAAACGGGACGAACCCGTTAGGGGAAGCTTCTATAGTGACTGTCGAACCTCAATAGAATTTGGTAAGTAATATTTTAAAGAATATAAGGTGAATTGCGGACTGTAAATTATGTGTCTTCATAAAGTTTTGTCATTTATTATAAACTACTTGTATTTTACGATTACGACATCTTTTACATTGTACACTATAGTACAATTTTCTTTCCAATATATAAACTTACACCGTCCGAGCGAGTTACGTCCGTCACAAACCGACTGCCAATTTAAAACAAATAAATATTAAAGGAAATTCACAGAACAATGTTGAGACCGACTTCTATCTTAGTCTTAAGATTATAAAGCATATAATATAAATAGACGAAACACGAGATATTGCTGCGTCCACAGTTATTCATACTAAGCTGTAATAAATTTTTTGACGTATGGGGAATTGGCTTATTTGCGATTTCTAACTTTTATCCAAATTCGAATCCAAAAGCAAATAATAAAAAAAATATTATTCAAACACGTGTTATATATCCTAACTATAGATGATATACTTTAGTTATAGCTGCGACTAATTGGATTGCAGTAAGGTTAGGAAAATTTATCTTTTGAATGTTGTACTGGCGTACTTCTCCAGTCAGCCAGCAAGAGACATATAAGAAATGGTCACCCAATGAAATCAGGATATCCGTGATTAGAAGAGGCATATCTTCTAAGATCCAACTTCGTACACGTATAGCTGGCCAATCAATTACCTGAATACTAGGTAATTTAAATAGCAAAATACCTACAGTGTTAGTAAGTACCAGGCTAGTGATGACGTAGTGCATAGCATGTTCGCATGCTACATTTGAAGAATTTGTAGGTGCGAATTCCACTCTATACACACTTCGTTGGGAGCCAGCCATCTGATTGAATGGCTATCGACGAGGAACCAGCGATCTAATGGAATGCCTAAAGCCGGTACTGGACGTAAAACGCGAGACATTTAGAAAAAACATGGAAAGTATAACAGCAAAAAAGCCACGCAGTAAGACGAATTTTACATTGATCATAAGGTAAGGTAGTCTTTTTTTGCAGTTAGGTACTAGAAGCGGCGGAATAGAATAATTAGGTCTATTAAAGGTAACTTACTTGACATTTACTAGTCTTTCTCTGCCACTTAGACAGCAGTTGGGTTCATTGGCAAACGAAAGAGGCATCCATAACGGCGGCCCAGATATACAGGCCTTTTTTCGGGCTTCTAATTTTCATTGTAATTATTAGTCTTTTAAATCGTGTTCTAAGAAACTGAGCAGTTATGATAGAACACGGCCAAATCATGGCCACGTAATGGAATTTCAGAGCCGTCAAAGTCCGATGCCTGTGAAGTCAAATGCTGCCTTACAAAAAAAAAACTTCTCCTACCTTTCAAGCGTCTAAATTGTCGATTTTTTGACTTAGTTTGGCAAGCCTGGTTAATCAAATTAAGTTGCAGTCTGCGTTCATTGTTTCACTGTGTTACCAAAGCTCATAGAGGAGCGCCCTCTTTATCGTATCGGCATATCAACTGTACTTTTTTGAGCTAGAAACTGCTAGACAAAAGTGCCTTTTTCATTGTCAATCCCAACTTTGTATAAAACTGATTTTTTTGTACAGGCAATAATGTTTACGTGGTCAAGTAGTTGCTGTTTTGCTTTCACTGAGCTCATACCACGCCAGTTTCATTGATTAAACAACTGCATATCCGCTAATTTATGCAGACGATTCGGAAAAGTATTATGATTAACTCCTGTTGAAGCTCTTAGAGTTAATTTTCACTTAAGAGCTGCTATTTATTACCGTCCGCTCTTCGCCACCGTCGAAAAAGTGATCTATGGCTAAAAAAGAGATTTTCATCTTTAAGCAATAAACGAATTTTGGTAAACAATACAGCCATGCTCATTCAACCATGATACCTCATTGCTCCATTGGAGAAGGCAAATACAACATTTCAGATAACCAACAAAGATATCAATAAATCGCGTATATTGTTAGTGAAGTCGTTTTCATTATTAGATTTCTGGCATACTTTCCGTGTTGTATTCTACGCCTATTTTCATAATTTTTGTCCAATACGTTATGGATTTCTCATGGGAGTGTTTTAGGTTCCTTCTAGTCTGATTTAAGCTTTCGCCTACCTTTTCGACATTCCACGTGTTAGCGGACTTGAAGAAACGCCAAATCGTGCTCGATAGCGCACATCCCACATATCCTGAAAAACAGACAACTTAATTCTTTGTGATTTCGGGCTATGTACGAAATGTGTGGAAAGTCAAGCTATTACAAGTAAACAGATTTGTAGCTTTTGAACTAGCAAGCTCACAAGGTAATGTAAGCCAGCTCAGTTATGTTTTTAGCGTTTTGTTTTCAACCCAAAAAAAAAGTTCGCTTTTTACTAATACTTTTACAGTTGTGTGTATATCCACCTTTTGTATGATACAAAGAATGACCATATAGGATTATACACAATCAGTATATTAGATGTTACAATTACGAACTTTGTACGGGACGAGAGCCAATGTCAACATGCTCTGTGCTATATCTCATCTAATTGCGCGGAAACAGTCGAAATGCATAGTCTGCAGGATCATAATACACAATTAATAATAGACAATAATAGATACACTAATTTTCATACAGCTGGATATAATATTTTTTTACAAACTCATTCAATTTGGCACTGTTGCTGTATCAATCAAAGTTCCTGATTTATATATATATATATATATATATATAAGATACTGCGGACAAAATTGACCATACACTATTTAAGCAGTACCTATTATATTAATAACCGTTTAAGTAGAAAGTGAGTTCATATATAAAAAAAAAATACATTACTAAATCTTTTTATGGACAGTGATAAGATAACAATGCGTATTGGGACGAGTCCTGTAACATAGAAGGGCGAAGTATCTAGTTACCTTTGACGGCTTCAGAATTATGAAGAAATCGTACCGCGAGTGGCATATACCCTTCAGGACCAAGATCGATGCTCTGCAGGAGTTTGCCTGTGGACCACTGCCATATATGGATGTGTTGCCCGTACTTGCCGGTTTTTACATCCACTGGATTAAAATCCTTCTGTAACGTTGTAAAAGCGACCAGCCTCTGTAATTAATAGTTACAATTCGATTTTGTGTATACATTAGACTTATGGCCATTTTTCCGCATAGTTTTGAAAAGCAAAAATAAGTGACAGCAGCCCAATAAACGTTATACTGTAATTAAATATGTATGTTATACAAAATGTGATTCAATACTAAAATTTAATGTTCGGATCCCGCAGAAGCGCAATGTTTTCGTCGACCTTCGACCTTATAGAATTTATGTAAACAACCCATAAAAGACAGAAGAATGAGCAGAGAAAATTCTATCACTGCATTAATCAATCAGGATTGAGCTAGGACGGGTCTAAAGGCATATAATATGTTGTATATATATATATATATATATATATATGCCTTATATATGTATAAGGCATATAATATGAGTGAAGCATGTTTAACTTATTTGTTATTGTATTGTCATTTCTTGTCATTTTGTTGTTCATCTTGTTAAACCATAAGGGTTGTTTCCGTCATCCATATGGTTATAAAATGGCCATACATAAATTTTCCTAAAATGCGTTAGGTTTACCAAGTACCATTTTCAAACACAAAATTTATTCGATAATAATAAACTCTTTGCCTAAGTAAGTCGTCAAAGACTTACTTAGGCGCACCCTATTCAGTGCTGCACATAACGTCCTTACGTAGTTGATACCAGAAATCATAGCCTCGCGCGAGCTGTTCATTACCCCAGATACCCTCCATGATATGGTATGGTCGGGGGCTCTGTGATTTGAACGTTTCGCCGCAAAGAGCTACAAAACTGCCTGAAGATGGAAAAATATAAATGTGTTGATATCAACTTTTTTGTTGTTTTAAAAACCACATTTTGGAATTGATACCTTGAGCTTCGCAAGTTTTATTTCCCATTGTCGACACTATAATTCGCCCGCCCGGAAGACAACGCGGCGTATTAAGCGAAGACACGTTCCTTGCGTATAGCTGTTCCGGCTCGACGGTGGCAATTATTCGGAACTTCAAAGCGTTGCTTAAATCATACGTGTAAATTCGATCTGATAAGACACATGGCAAAATCAGTTTGTCACGATTACGCGACGGATCGTTGTAACAGGACGGGCATGAATTCCAATTTAAGCTCGGTTGATCACCTACTATCAAACAACAGGCAAAGATATATGGCAGCAAACAAAACGTCGACAACGTCAAAGAATGGAAATGTTCCTAGAATGATACGTTAAACAATTATCACATGACTTTACACAAGCATTGTAAATATGTACCTTGCGATATGTTTTTGAGTTAGGGTCGACATCGACGACGGTAAGGTAGTTAGGCCGATTTTTTGCTGCCACTATGCATGGTACGTAAAAAATATGTTCTCGGGAGGCTTTCATCGCATCTTTAGGTGATGCGTATCCAGGACCCACAGGGATACCACAGCAGGCTGCCGTATCAGAAAATATGAACATAAATATGCAGATTTTCTGTCTGAATATTTGTCTATTTCCGTAACTTATATGTCTTCTCTAGCTTTGAATTATTTGATCGGTACGCGTCCTTCAGAACATGAAAATGACTGTCCTCCGCGAAAATATCCAGGATAAACACAAATCTACAATAGGCCCACCATGATAATCGTTCGTGGAATTTCCCCTCTGAGTATATTTATATAGAAAAAATGTTTATTTAATCTTGACTAAAATTATATATTATTATATTATTTTTCATAATTATAGTCGACCTAAATATAGTAATTATAGTAGTATAGTTTCATGCTCGCTGCTATGACTAAGTATTGTTTTAGATCTTACAGACAGTTTTACGTACCCATGCTTCTGTTAGTTCTTATTGTTTGGCACACTAACTACAAGATCCAACAGCCCGTGTTCTACGGCGCTCACACTCCGACCGTCTTTAAGTAACTGAAGGAAGGCAAATAGTCCAAATGGGAACAACGCGCCGCCTTCACAATAGTACAAGGGTCTGAATGAAGCCCACGCTAACTGAGCTCAGCTCTGAAGGAATGTGGGGCATATGAGTTGCCGCCGGACGAAACAAGGCCCAACCACCGACGCCGTCCTTCCTATCTCTCCAGTGTTCAATTTCACCTTCAATAAAACTTCATTACAGCGGTCTAATGCAATGCCGCCTATTGTCAGAGCAGTGTTCACCTTCCCTTCATAATGAGCAGTCGAACTGAACGTATATTGTACGAAGCTGCTTTGTTTTAGGTTCCTTCAGACTGTGTTTGGACAGCTCCTTCCTAAACGGTCGCTCCAATTGTGTTCCCGAAGAGCTATACCCTGTATCTCGTTCGTACACCGGCCCACTAATTATTCCGAAGTAATTACACTCTAATTGTGTTTACCTACCAACCACCTGCACTGAACTCAATAATTGAGTTTTTTTAGACATTTTACATCCGCTATAAACTTAACGCAATAGCTCGTATTAAGCACGAGTCGCTATTGTCCCGTGTGCGTAACGATCGTTCATTCTGTTGCTGCTATCCAGTAGCACCACCAAAAGGAAGATTTGCCAAAAATATACTAATTTTATAACCTATAAATGATGACATATGAAGCGATCTATTTTTATCTAAGGCAACAAGTTTGGTTATCTTTTACTTGTCGTACTCTAAAAAAAATAATGCAATATAATTAAACTCTTTTAAGACCAAAAATAAGTACTACGAAGAATCAAGCAGTTTCTACTCCATACATGTGGTTTTTCTATCACTTAAATATTGTGGCGCGTAAATCACAACGAACACCACATCGCAACACGCCTTAATATATAATACTTATTACAATTACTTACGTTTTTTGAGATACTTTCAATAAAAAGTTGCAACAAATTATTAGTACTAGCAAAACACAAAACACAATTGCGCATAATAACTAAATAGATGCGTGACTGAATCGTTCGCTGTTTATTTCGTTTCTCTTTCATCGTGCCTTTCACTGTTACTTGTTATATATTTTCAGGGTAATCATCATCGTCACCATCAAGCGCAGCAGTCCCATCTCCTTTCTACTGAATAGCGGAACATTTGTGAAAGGTCTCCATTCCGGCTTTTGTGTTATCTCCATAGCGTTTACTTTACTAATAAGTTTCTTCTTGCTCTGGTTATTGTCACTATCGTCGTATGAACATGATACAATTAAACTATGGCTGATAATAAGGGTTTTTCCGCAATATCACACAGCCTTCGAGGACCGGGGTCAACGCAAGGTACTCATCTGTAGCGAGTTCGGCTCGCTCACCAAACGACAGCAAAACAGGTGTCGTATGTGTCTGAAATCCAGTGATGGTTTTCGGCCTGCCAGCTTGACCAACCTGAGGAATAAATTGAAACAAATATACATTTCATTAATAATTAAAAACAGGCATTTGTTTTTAAGACTGCACTTCCCCGTTAATCGGTTGACTTGGGCATGGCCTCTTCCATGGTAGAAACCAAACACCTTAATTATACCAATGCTAATACATGTACAAACGATAAGAAAAATTTTTCACACATGTTCTAGGTGTAATTTTGGCGATACTGTTTATTTAAGGCAACCATTATTCATTGAAATTACAGCTTCAAACATTTTTTCTTTATTCCGCAAATAACTCTTCTATAGGAACTGTAGCCACGATACTGGTAGGTATAAACTCTTACTTGAATTCTGGGGCCGATAGCGAACCAAAAATATAAAGGCTCAAAAAGGCCTAAAGATGAAAAAAGTTGTTAGAATAGAAAAAAGTTAGAATTTTTCTGGGCCTCTTAATTGACGTTTTTGCGCAAAACCACCGTGAAAATTCCAGACGTATCAAAAATAATATATATATTTTTTAATTGTTTTAATCAAATATATTGAGCTTCTTTCGATTCACCTCGTAAAAATCTTTTTCAGATTTTCCAAGAGCCGCGCGTTAGAAAATAGACGTAGATTGCTGACTTCGGGCAGAACAGCCTTTGTACTAATGAGTGTTCGTCCAGCGCGACGAGATAGAGTAATAGCTCATTTACGCTCAAATTGTAAAAGTAACACATGATTTTTACTATTTCAAGTTTGTCGTTTTCCTTCTAGCAAGAAACAAGCAGGCTTTCTTTTGTCACAAGAAAGGTGAATAAACGCATACCCGTTACAACAAACAGCCAATTTAGGTGCCGTATCCCGCCGACACAATTCAAATCACGTCTTAACACAGTTAGAGCCATCAAAACATTTTTTTATGTTGTTATTCTATTCCATGAGGAGACTGCAGGTGACGACACCTACCACATCGACTGCCTGTCCAACCCGGACCGGTACCGGCAGTGGTTGAAGGTTCTCGTCAAACGTAATCAGCATCCGTGGCTGCATCGCTGGCACGAGACAGTAAAGAAGGTAATGCGCGCGGCCTAACAGCGTGTTTTTTACATCGAGCAGGGCAACGAGCGTGGCAAATAAGCCAGCAACCGCCGCCGGTCGTAGCAGTTGCCGGTCAGAATGAAGGGGGCTCAATGTAAGCGTTCCTTTGCCTAAGTGTGCCAGACCCTGGGCGAGTCGCACCATAAATAGGTTGTTTGCATCCTTAGCGTGGTACTGCGCCAATTGGCGAAGCATGGCCGCCAGACGAGCGTTGTTCGTGCCTGCGCCAACAATACCTAAAAAGAAAAATGAGGAAGAATACGTAGTAAGCGAGGATGAAGACCAAACAGAACAGTGGAAGATTTGCTAGCGAGTTGATAAACAAACAATATGTCAGCGGCCGACGATACACGCAAATTAGATAAATTCTGCAGTATACTTCTTCGCAAGTCGAGGCTTGTAAAAACAAACAAAAAGCAGTACTTTGTTCATCTACACATTGATTAAATTGCATCAATTGCATTCATACACTTAAAAAAATTGACCCTTTAGGATCTATTTTACTCTTAATAGATAACTAGTCACTGTTCAATCGGTTATTAAGAAACCTAAATGTTTCAGATAACCATCCTTTTCAAGTGTTTCAAACAAATAAATCACAAGTAAAATTTATTAAAGGCTTACCCATGCTAAAGATGGCAGCGTGTGCAACTTCAGGGTCTGAGTCGTGCGAGAACTTGGATAGTGTCTCGAGAATGTTAAGTTTTGGGTTGGATACGGACAGTAGTCCAAGAGCCAATGGCACGGCTCTCTTAATGCACGGCTCACCGTAACGCAGCAGGTGACCGAACGTGCGGAACGCCATCTCCGCACCGATATCCTCGCCCATGGCGATTAACGCCAAGCCCAAAACTGCTACGCTTTGCTGGCTGCTTCTGTTCACCTTCGCATCGGGGCTCGCCGTCGTTGAAGTGGTAGTGCTCGTTGTATTGTCCGTATTTGGGCTCTTTTCATCCTTATCTTTACTCTTGTCGGCGTCCGCCGCACCAGGTGTCGTCGCCAATGCGCCCGCAGCAGCTGTTGCGCCCTTGTCCTTTTTCTCTTTCTTGCTACCGCTTCCGCTGCCAGCCTCTTTGACCTCCTCATCAGGCTCAAAGTGCTCAGAGCAAATGTGCAACAACTTTTGTACCTTGAGAACATTGCCAGTTCCAGCATACGCGCAACATTCGACCAGTGTCGTCGCCATTGATCTGAACGGTTCGGGCGCCACCTCCAAGGCAGCCACGATCGCTTCGCAGCTTTCCTGCTTGCCGAGATATAGCAAACCGAGACACAGTGGCAGGAAACGGGCAAATGCGTCCTTCAGATTTTCAGGGGTCTTTTCAAGCAGCGCCGTCATAACTGTTGACGTAATATCAGCGTTCTGGGACGCTACTCCGATCAAGCCAAGAGCAAGCGCTGCAATGCCAAGGACCTCCGGTGTCGTATGAGGATCCGAAAACACAGGCAAAATATGCGTTATGACGTTAGCGTTGTCGGAGCCAGCGTACGCAAGTCCGAGGCCGAGAATCGAGCCGATTCGCATAAGTACGCTCTCATTAAGAACATAGTCCGACAGCAGGGCCATGGCAGGGTCACAGTCATTACGGACCCCGCAGTTGACGATTCCACAGGCAAGGACTGCACCCGCTTTGATGTAGTCCTCGTTCGAATACAAGTACTTATCAATATGGGACAGGCCATTTTCAACGGACCAGAGTTGAATCAAACCAAGCGACGCCGTAGCAGACATCATGGCGTGCTCCTTGTTCTTGTAAATCCATTTATTACCATCCTCCATAATAAGTTTATCATTGAGGAAGGCTGCATTCACAAAACCGTTCACAAACGTAGACGCTAGATTCTGTCGCGCGGAGTCCACACCCGCAAAACTTCGAGCATTATCAAGGTGCGATTTGTAGATGTCATCTGGAGTCTTCGGCTCCACGATGTCAAGTTCACGTGCCAGCCCAAGGAAATGGTCGCTCATAGATGAATTTGAAGCAATTTCGTTAAGGTCCTCAAAGTTCTTCAGTGAGTCGCACTCAGGTAACACCATCTGCTGTCTGCCCATCATAAAAGCCATTTGTTTCTGGATGGCACTAAGCAAAGGTGAAAAGTGAATTCAGTAAGCTCCATAAATGAATAGAAGGATTCAACATAGACATGAATGCTACAAATATAGGCGATTCCCTGTTTTCATTTCAATAACTGATCCTCAAATCTAAATTCTTTCATAGAGAAAAAAATATTCTGCTGTTGTATCCAGCGATTGGTCGTATATCGCAAATGCGTCCTATACCGAGCGCAGCATTACATGTACATTGCGTTGTTGGGCGCCAGTAATTACAAAGGGTCTTAGCGTTTCACGCCTTCTGGCACAAATTAGTCTAATACTCAGCAAAAAAAAGGTAACTAGCAAGGCTGTAAAATAAAATATACTACTTACACATCCTTACACCTGGTGAAGATCTCCGTTACTCGTTCCGTTTCGTTAAGCTGCATCGCAAGTCTCAAAGCATCGGGGTAGTTTTTGAACTTCATGAATATTGATAGAGCTGTTCGCATTAACGCGAGATTATCCGGATCCGGCACGTACGGAACGCACGAGATGAGGTAGCGGCAAACCCGTGGGTAGGCCTCAGCGTCCACAAACTCCTCAAGAAGACCAAGCTGCTCGACTTCCATGAGAAGATCACAAGCTTCCGCTTCGGCGTTGTGTGCCATATGATACGGAACGATCTGCCGTGTCAGACCAAGAAGTTCTGGTCGGGCCTTTTCGTTCAACGCCCATTCTTGTGCGATTTCCGCCGATAAGTGGCGGACATACTCGTGGCCCCATGAACCAATCTCGTCGGATGAACCGATCAAACGGAAATGCAGGCAATCTCGCTCCTCCGAAACCGTCATGCCGAGCACAGAGATAATATCAGCACAGAACGCCTTCGTGGCCGCGTCGGCCATCTTTCCGTGGCAATCCTTCAGCGTCGTGTAGTTCGGACGCAGAAACTTCAACGGCTTCGGAACGGACGTCATGGACGTCGTCGATGCACGAATTAGGGTACGCAGAGACTCGAGTGCGGCCTTGTATAGCGATTGATCAGTCTCCTGCAACCTCTGCACAAGCATGTTAAGCTCATCCTGCAACTGCTTGTCCTCGTCCGACTGGAACGCAGAAAGGAAACATAGTAAGGAAATAGCCCATAGAACAACAGTGATATTAATAACAGTAATGAGAAGTTAGCAGATCGACAAAACGGCGGAAATTAGGTTCTGCAAAAACCTGTTCAACGTATAAAGGAAAGGCAAAAAAGACTGATATTTAATCAGTTTGAATGATTTCGAGTTCTTACGCAGTTTTTTAGAACGTGAGCCCCCCAAACCCATACACTTTACCACTCTTCACACAGTAGCATAAAAAAGTAATTTCGAACAAGATCACCAGTTCTTGTACCAAATATTTTTTTATATACTAAGTTTTTTATATCAACATTTTATATATTATATA